ATACGTTACTATCGCTCTATGATCTTTCAACAATATGTTTGACATCTAATGATTTATCTCGTGTGGCCTCTTAGCTTCTTTTGAGTCTTTTCTTGAAGGTGGTGATGGTGGTGTGCTTCACAACGTATACTATCATCTGTCACCTTTGACTTATCCCTTTTTCGTCTTCGATATATCGTATGCATTTTTTTGTGATACCGTTAATGAAGTTGTTTAGCGCAAAATCTCAAGTAGGATCGAAGTAGAAAATAGTCCGCCACAATCTATCTGAACTAACACAAGGCGATCAAATGCTCCTGCAACGCAGATAAATCGTTAGATATTTTTTGAGAAAAATTTATGTGCGCAGAAACATATCCTATGTTTTCAGAATTCTTTCCTACACCTTAAGTATAGCTTAGATAGGTTATTCTATCCGTTTAAATATTGCTAGTTTTTTCTGTTTAAGCAAATTGTCTCAAACTATGAAGTCTCCGTAGTAGTTCCATCCTGCGCTCCACCTGCTAGGACTCAACTGAAGAGTACATGACTGTTAATTAGCCCAGGATCAGTCTGAAACTCATTCATGGCGTGTTATATGTAAAGATGCATGTCATTTGTGTCACCGCCTATCGTTCTGTCCTTCATTGACATAGTAGACTGGATTCCAATCTCCATCCCACACTGTCATGTGGGAAAAGCTTTCCCATGAGTTATCAATCCTTATCGGATATGAGATAGTTGCTCACATTAAAGTTTGACTGGTCATTTCAATTCCATTCTATTAAAATGTTCACTGCTCCTGCCCAGTTGTCGCTGATACACTTCACATATCCGGTGTATCTGATTTTTTATCCTCTTCGAGATAGCGAGAATTTTCGGCTAGCGGTTCGCGCTGCTGCGAAGATAGGCTGACAGCTCATTGTCCAATGATTTAAGGATAATATCTTATATTCGACCGTTTTCGAGACCTCGCTCAAAACAGTATAATCAATAGCATATTTTATGCCATCACTAAAATGCTAGATGATCTCGTCACTAGACATGTAGTGATTTCTTATCTCCGCAGTGTGTAGTGACATTTTCACATTGCTCGTGCACTGTAAGATCTTCATCGTCGATTCCTCTGATGTAGGGTGTATATGCCCTTACAAGGCCTTAGCTCAAATCAAGGCACCATGCTACTGATGACGGCTGACAAGCCAAAACGCGTGTCAAGTACTTTATAAGTGCCATAACGACCTCATGAAAGGCTTAGAATATGCCATCAGATCCAAAGATAATGTAGTAGTTCTGTGTCAAAATTGAACTTTTCTGAATGCCGAAGGTTGTTTTGTTGCCGCAGAGAGATAGAAGATCATTGAGAAGACTTTAGAAGTGCTATTTTCGTTGGAATAATGCCAATGCTTTCTAAAAGTTCATATTTGCCAACTGTGTAACGGTATTCTTGCGGGACATTACGGAGAATCTTTCGGAATGTCGAGAATGTCAAACGGACAACAGTAGTATCACCGACCCAATGGTCGGATCTCCTCACGAGAGGCTTGTGTGAAGATTCACCTAGAGAACCCTCTGTGTCACTCTTTCACACGAATAGGCAAAAAGGAAAGTTTACTGGCCGTCGAACGAGTGACTCGACGATCAGCAACCCAACAGATAATACAAGTTGTGGCAATCCGCATAAAATGAACGTTGTGAAGCAGTCATGCTTATATGACTTTTGATGCAATAGTTTGATGCAATCAGAGATCTGAAATTTGCTGACATACTTCAACATTGTATTCAAAGTGCAGAAAAAATGCTGTAGCTGAGCTGTTCGCCGCTCGAAAATCAAATTGAAACGACAGAAGGCGACTGCCAATATACGGAACTGTTCAAAGGCGGAAGTTCGACACGGAACTGCCTAATCAGTTCCAATCATCGTTCGCAAAAATTTCATGACGCAGACGATGAGTTTGACAGCGCTGACGGTGCCTTCCATTTGTCGTTGGCGAAACAGACAAGCAGAGCTTCTTACGTTCCCATTCGGAGAATTATAGCTAAGATATAGAAATTTTGTAAAATTCTCTACTTAGCACACTATTTCGCTCACTTCTGGTATGAGACCTAACGTAGCGGAAGAAATGTTTTCCAAAACATTTTTCATTTTGTTGGAGGTGCAACCGCCAATAGAGAGCTCTTCAGAAAGTTAGGTCCATCTTATGCTGCACAGCAATTTCATGAGCTGGAGAACGAAACTAATCTCATCCATCAGTAAAAAGTCGAACTGTGCTTAATGCAGTTTCGTGCATTTTTCTTGTGAGATCCAATGATAATTGCTTGTTAGCGCAATTTTGGGTAAAAAGTTTCCAACTTCTTGCTTTGAAGAATTAGTGGCCGTCTCACAAATGAATTGGCAATATCACTATACGAATTCTATAATATCTTCTTGATTTGAGTTGTCCTTTTGCACGAGCTGTGAGAATTAAGGCTGCTTCATAAACATCGCCTTGATGTAAAATTTGTAACGTAGAAAAGGTGACTAAGGACGTCTCAGCTGAGCGTCATCTCGATTGTGTTCACAACAGCGTCCACTTTATTTCTCATTTCGATGCACTGTCGATCCTATAAAATGTTGGATTCTGGTGTCTCACTGGCAAGACGACCTTACTACATTTGTTTCCATACGGCCAATTTGATACGGTTCTCCTTCTTCTTAATTGTAATGCTAGATTCTAGGTGAAATCTCACTCCCTCCTCTTTCATGCCTTCCGTAGGACGTGAAGTTTTTTTTAGCAATCAGTTGGCCTCTTCATTAACAAAGGAGATTTCATACGCGTAGTGAATACGAGAAGTTAATGAAAACATCAAAGCTTAACTAACGCGATTTAATACATCTCTTTAATTTTATTCGAGCCAACATGCCATGTGGTCTGGTAAAGGGCTCTCGTACAGCTCGATGCACGTGTTTCGACCTTACAGTCTCGTAAGTCGGGCAGCAACCGTCGTCTTTCAATCCTTTTTAGCCAATCCTCTGTGTGTGCTCCAGTCCCACACACCACATTACATGTTGCTCAAGTAAAAATGAAGAGATCTGTTGAAATTTGAGCGTGGTCTTAAGAAAACACTTGAAATAAGAGAATAACGTGATTTAGTCTCCTAAAATTTGCTGCCAAAACCTTTCCCACCAATGATGTGCGTCCTTTTAGAATTCAATTGTAACGCCGAGTTTATTTGACTACGCAATCTTTATTTTTGAAAAGTCATAATACTATGTCATAGCATTACATATATATTGGTGAGAAAAGAATTTGAGGCATGACTTCTGAGGAACTAGCACAATTCATTAGAATTTCCTTCCAAGTGATCCCTTTCACCTACCTTGTCCTAATGAAATTTAGCGTGCAATCCTCGCCAACTGATTTTTTTGTGCTTCGAAATAGCAGAATTGATCACAAAACGTGCGTTGAAAGATTTCATTTTGAACTCAACGAAATGGAAACCTCCAAAGCACACCGGGAAATTGGAGGAACTTCCACATCAGCGTCGTTCATAGTTGAGTGTTGAGTTCCAAATTTGTTGTCGTGGGAACGGTCCCATGAAAAAATGTGACATCTACTCTTAATTTTATCTACAATATTTGCTAAGATTTTTATTGTCCAAAATAGGGATGTTCTCACAAATATGACAAATCTTTCAACCGATCTCTTTATGTTTTCACTGCGAGACATGATCTTTATAGCGTTGGGAGTTGGAGTGATACCTGCGGGTCAAGGTGAGAGCTAGAAATTTTATAATAAGGCGAGTACTTTCAATCTCAGGTAGACGTTTATGAAAAGTATCAGAGCGATTATATGTGTCACTTAATGTCTGTTCAAAACTGTTTTATTCTGCTCTTCGTGATATGATCACATTGAGTAAGAAACGAAATAGATAGGAATACTATTTGAAGCAATGATTTTGATGTATAGTTAGCCAATAAAAAAAAAGCGATACTTTGCTGTAGCACCTTCATTGTCATCGGCTTCGCTTTGTCCGTTGCTATGATTTGCAATGGAGACTACAATTTCTACTCAGGCATTTGGCGTGCAACTAACAAAGGAGGACCTCAAGCATTATAAACCGTCTTGTGATGCAAGCAGCGAGTTGGCAACTTTTAAATCCCAAGTATTTCCCTTTTTTGCGATTTCTGCTAACGCGTGGGAGGTGAGCCCCAATTTTCTGGCAAATCGCACTCTTCATAGTGCGAATATAACTTAAATAACTTCAAATAAACTGATCAGAACATTCACGTAAAATATGTATCACTGATGAGATTTTTCTTATCTATTGGTGTTCTCGAACGCCAAGCTTGTATTGCATTTTTACCTGATGCTATAATTTTACCCATTTAGGGTGAACCTAACGTGAACATCACTCGCTAACCGTTGGAATGCAATAAAGCTTCTATAATGCTGGCTAAGAAAAAATGTTGGTGTTCAGTATTGAAAATTAGTTTGAAAAATTCCAAGGATAAATTTAATAGGCATTTAGAGAGCGGATTCGTGGTTGTTAAAGTCTTGAAAAGCAAGCAATTATTAGTGAATCACTAGGAAATGTCCTTGGAATTGAGGAAAATAATAGCATTGAAACCAAAACATTTAGGTGCAATAGTTTCTTCCAAGGGTTTCTCATGTCTTTTTCGTGAGAATGTTATGGTATAATCAAGTGTCAGGTGATGCTTTGGCAGATTTTAAAGAATCAATCGCAAATCATCTTTATATGACCGCCGATTGCGGTGTTATGATGTTCAAATAAACTCAACGATGTAGAAAGGTGTGCAAAAACGCTTGCGTCAGCCGGGATTTTAACCCAGATCTTACTCTTTCCTGGAGCATGTGCTAAACCGTTGCATCACCGACGCTCTTTTTGCACTCCACTCTTTCTATGCTCTGTCGACAAAAGTGGGTTTAATATCGATAATGACTGCCCCACCACACCGTAGACGGTTGGCTGTTGACATATAACGCGTTGTAGCGTAGAAAGAGTGGATTGCAAAACGAGTGTCGGTAGTGCAGCGGTTTAGCACATGCTCCAGGAAGGAGTAAGATCTGAGTTCAAATCCCAACTGACGCAGACGTTTTTGCACACCATTCTACATCGCTAGATTTTGAAGATTTATAGAAAGGAAAACAAGTGCTCGCAGCTGTTCACCTTTTCAGTTTTGTAATGTATAATCTTAATTGTTGAGGTGTTCCCTTGGTAAGACGGACGACTTTTTACAGAAGACAGGACGCACGATACGTGCATTATTGTCGACAACACGATGACGAGAATTTGCACTAAAATGACGGGGAAGAAAGCACTAGAATGTAGGTTATGGCGGTCCTATTCCTCCGTAGAGTTGACAATTGGTGAGACTATCTCGGTCTGAAACAGCCTTCTATTTTGTATGAGCTTCACTTTGTTAAGTGAAAAAAACACTGTGTAGACTACAAACGTCGTCATGAGAAGTGGTCAAGAATAAGGTGGCAAACTGTAGTGAACAGAGTGGTTCGGATGTTGGCGTCGAGTCCATTTTGATCGAACTTCTTCTCTGCATCTGTTGTTGTTAGCGGAAACTAAATTTTAACTGCGTTGTATTTGAGACAAACGCTTATATTTAATCGACTAGCACTAAATTTATAATAACTCGTAAATCACTAGGCGCTGATTAGTCAGAGTGATTGCAACGAACTACTCCCAAATTAGGCCTTCTTTGAAATTTTAGTGACAAATCTACAATTAAAAGTCTTTAAGAAAAACTCTTTTGCTCTTGTAATTCGAGAATACGCACTCATCCAAAATTAATGAGTAGTATGCGAAACACTCAACTCTAGGCGAGAGTTGTTTACTGTCATTAAATTTTCACCAGTGTCTACAATGAAACTAGCTGGAGAACGATCACAAAAATAAAAAGCATTGGAGGTTCAATGCAAAGTTGGTCCTACAGCGACAGTGAAGTTTCAACTAGAATTCAACTCATTCGCTCATCCACATATATGCTAGATGAAGTTGACTGAGTGACATCGCGAAAGGATCATTTTTCAAATCCATATATTTTAGTATGCAAAAACATAAGTGCTGTTGAATTATCAACAGTAAATCTGTCTGCTTAGGATATGTTTACCATATCCCTGTAAAAACTGTTAGCAAAATTAAAAACGGGAAGCATTTTAGTTGTAGATTGGTGATCTACCTATAGAGATGTAGAACTGTAGCAAATCTCATGCAAAGCTTTTGGATTTTAGTGGACACGGGGATGACTCCCATGTTGCAATGTATTGTACTCAATAAAATCTTAATGTTTACAGCCTCACGTGTGCTCAAAAGATAATACTGTGAATAAAGAATAAGAGTTGGATATGCAAACTTCCCAAGGATCCAGTCTTCTTGATGGAAAATGCAGATTCTCAGGTCTATGTGTCTACTTCTCACCAAAAGTATCTTTGCAGAAGTGCGCTCGGTAGCATATCATATTCTCGTGACGATGAAGTGTTCCCATTATCTGAACGTTACTATAAGAACTGCCAACATAACCAGCTCTGAAGCCCGAACAACGGGCATACCACCTCGAAAACGTGCTAAAAAGTTATTTTTTGGCTCTGTCCATTAACAAGGCCTTGCCAGAAAGCAAAACGAGTACGCAAATCTCCATCACTTAAGTATCCGGCGACTAGTTATAGTCCAATAAAAATGAAATGGAAATCAGTAACTGTTTATTGCGGGAATTACAACTTTACGCACCATGGGTGAATTGTGAAAATACGAACTTTACCAAGGCTTACGTTCAGGATTGTTAGATTCATATTGAATTATATGCGCGCGACTTGACAAACACTTGTGATCCAGTGATAGCATAGTAATTCTATAATAATTCAAATCTTATGGACACTAAAGGATGTTTTAGAGTTAGTAAAGAATTGAAGATCACCTAGAGACTTCAATAATAATAGTTTAGTCAAAATAACGCCATGCCTCATAAAGCCCTCAGTTTTCATCAGCGAAACCACATAATTTCGAACGGGATGTATATCCAACTGTCATTGAACATTGTTAGATAATTATATTTATATTTCTATCTATTTCTAATTAAGTCACATATCTTATGGTTTTAGAATCTTTTCGTTCTACACAAAACTTGAATGTTATCAGAGTGCTTTGAAAATTATAACACAGTGAATAGTTTCTTCAATTGACAGTTTTTATAAACCTCGAGAAAACAATATTAATCAATCACATAACATGTTATTTGGCGTCGATTTTTATGAGAGGGGTATATCCCCAGACAAGGGATCGGCTGAACCGAAACACATCGCGCTACGGAGGAGCCCGGAAGGCGAAACAGGCGCCTGTCCAGTACTTTATAAGTGCCACACCAGAACTCATGAAGAGCTCAAATTCTTTTATGTGATTGACACTGTCTAGTTAATCACATAAGATGCTGCACACTGTATGTGAACCATTTTATCAAAAACTTTTTTTAATTTTTCGACTGATTTTATACATCGAGAATTTGAACTTTCACAGAATTGTAAATGAGACTCTGCCCTGTTCTTTTAAAGGTAACAACTTATGCTATCCAGTGCTGCATTTAAGTGAAAGGAAATACTGTAGCAAAACTATGCTTCGCTCAATAATTCAAGTAGTAGGTTTGTGATGAGGAACTTGCGATTTAGCAATGGTTTGAAATGTGCTGTTTGATATCGGAATGCATTCTTGAATAAAGGTCATCATGCATCGTTTTAATGCTTATATTTCGCTATATGTTTTATTGCCAATGAAGTATCACTTGATATTCAGTCTAAACATAATTTATATCATGGAGGGGATGCTACACAGAAGCATATTTGAGCGGTTTTCATATTTGATTTCAAAATGGATCATAAAACATAAACAACTCATAACATCAACTATTTGAGCCAAAAGCTGCTAGCGAAGGTACATTGCAGTTGTGACTCAAGAAGTCATGTAAGGTGGATACATTTCAATACCGTATATACCGCAATCTTTTTTGTATCAACCTTGAGAGGTTATGGGAGTTGTGAGGACTCGTTTAAACAGAAAGGTACCATGTTAGTGATGAGCCATGCTGGAAAGTCGAAACGCACGTCCAGTACTAGAAGTGATACCCGAACTCTGAAAGGCTTACACTAATGCTGTCTAACTGCAATATTTTCGGTCGTACTGTGTTAAAAGTGACGCAATTGGGAAATTATTGCTTCATAGTCTTACAGATCTTAGATTATGGCATGATCAACAACTTGGGTTATTGGCCTTCTTAGCACATTCCTGCAGATTAGTACACGGTCAATCATTTCCACTTCTCAAGCAAGTGTTTGCTGTGTCGCAGAGTTCGATTCTCTTTGTCACGTGACTAGGATAGGAATCAATACTACATTTATTATAAGGGATAAAAGGGTAAAGCTCGTGATGCTGACCCATCCAGCCATGAGAGGCTCGCCGTCTATTCGACTTCATCAAACATCGATTAAGGTGATCGAATTATATCTGCCTTTATAATGACTCGTGGTGACCTACCGACGTGTGAAGCCAGGTTGACTGAATGTCTTAAACTTATCAAAGATCTGCTATGACATCTTAATTGGAAGACGTGCATTTCGGGCGTTCTCACGCCTCATCAGTACCACATGTCCTACGCCTCACCCCTGCTGTTATAGCGATCGGCGTAGAAGATGTTACACTCTACTTCAAGTAGAACGATCACTTGATGCTGCGTTCCAGAGTGATTGAATGATCTGAATTAGACTGCATGGCCTAAGGCTGTTATGGAGCACAAGTAATAATACCTTTCATTCGACTATTCTGAGATCTCGCCGAGAAATTCAGTGTAGTCCGACAAAATGTTAGAACACAAGATAAGGTGGTCGTTTCACTTGAAGTACAATGTATTTTTTCAACGCTGATTGCTAGTAATGGCAGGGGTGAGCCGTAGGGCATGTGGAGCTGGTGAGGCGTGCATGAACGGCTAAATGTGAGAATACCACTACAGATATCATAACTAGACCTCTGAAGGGGTTGAAACATTCTAACAGCCTGTATTGGATTTTCGAGCGACGTCTCAAAATAGTCGATTGAAAGGTATAAAGTCAGTGTTACTATCATGCCGCGGAAGTCTGGTCCCAATCGACCAGTTTCGGAAAAATTGAAGGATTTGTGAGCCTTGAGTGCTGACTCAAAGCATGTAGCTGTGATCACTGTGACACACGCGCCCTTACATTGTAATAATGATTGATAAAAGGATAAAGGATAAAGCTCTCGGCGTTGATCAATCCCTGAGGGATGCGCCATGCATTCAACTTCAATTTTTAACTTCATTTGAGGTGATTGAATGCACATATGGCCTTTACAATGACTCGCGGTTGCCTCCCGCTGAACCGAGTCAGTGCTGCTTATCCTCCCAGACAAGTCTGAGAACTGTCTGGTACCAATTTACCGACCCCGGAGGGATGGATGGCTTGGTGAGCCATGAGCGCGAGATCGAATGATTGGCCTCGTGTGCGACGCAGGGCACCTCTAACCACGGCGCCAAATGCCAACATTTAATGTAAATTAGTAGTGTAATAATGATTGATTCATCTCAAAATGTTTATTATCTTTAGGTATCGTCTTATGATTTTCAAAGCAAACTAGAATGTAGTGATTTTTTGTTTTCCGCAACACGTGTTCGCCTTTTCTTTTTTGGATTACTGCCTGCTTAACGCCTTAATACGCTTACCACACATTATTCACGCGTAAGAGCGCTCTACATGACACTATCTTTCATCCTGCTTATGTAGCGACTAGACTTCTGCTGCATACGTTAGGGCAGGGATAAATGTCGAGTCGAAAAGGTGGGCACGGAGTCCGATGTTCTTTGTCCTCTTCACTACATCTTCGATGCTCTTAAACGTTTCCCAAGCCGCTCGTTTCCTCCTGCTTAACTCTGGAGCTAGGTCGTTCATCATGTTAATTTCACGACCTAGATAGACGTAACTGGAGAATTCGGAGATTGTCGTTCCGTTGAGCGTGAATGGGGCATTAGAAACCCATCCGTTCCTCATGAACATTGTTTTCGTTAGATTCAGTTGAAGACC